GCGGCCAGCGCCCGGCACCCCGTGTCCCCCTCGCCTCCTCTGCAAAGGAGCCTTTCCCGGGGCTTTAGCTGAAACTCCTGCTCCAAGCGCCCATGCTAAGGTGTCAAATCTCTACTGCTGTGAGAGCCCTTGTTTCAGTCCCTGTTTTCCAGATAGAAACAGGCGCAACATGAAGTAGCCTCTTAATGGGCTGGTTCAGCATACTGAGGTTAAGTTTTCTTACCTTTCCTGAGTGTCTTTGTACACATAATAACTGCAATCACTTCCTAAATATACTAATATACTAATACCCAACTAAGTTTGCACAAAGTGGGTAATTGTTATCTTTTGTAAAACAAAAATAAGGTGCCTGCACACCCTCCTTCAGGCCCCAGTTATGATGGTCTCTTTTATAAGATCTTTTGTATTTTCCTCGGAGTCATGTGCACACTCGCAAAAGTTTTTCTCTGCAACAAGGATGGCAAACTGATTTTTGGGAAAAAAATAAAAGCACAAGAAGGTAAGGGATTATTAACAAATTTAAGATTTAAAAAGCCATGACTTCAAGAACAAGAATAAAACTTCTCAGACTCAAAGTGAGAAAGGATGAGGTACTTTATGGGGAAAAAAAAGCAAGGAAAATTGAATCTTAGGAGAGCGAGGAGCTATCTCCTGCGCTGCCCCCCAAGGTGGTCTTGTCCCATCACAATTTGCCTCATTGAAACAGGAAGAATTGCAATATATTGCCTAAGACTGAAGAGACTTCTGCCTGCATTACTAACGCTGTTAGCAACTTTCCACTTTGCAGAATCACTATTCAGCCAAACCTTTAGGTTTATTCAGTGCACACAGGGGCACAGCAGCTGAACCCTGCAGCTGCCCACAGCATTTTCAAAGCAGCACCGTATTTTAAAGGGTGTGTATATACACACACACACACATACACACACATATATATATATAAAGCTTTCCAAACGAGTCAAATACATTCCAGCGCCCATAGTTTTCTGTGTACGTGGGGGCGGTGGGGGGGGTGGTCTGCGTGTGTATTCCCCAGGTGACCAATCCCTTGAGGACCCAAACACGCTGCCAAAGCCTGGGGTGGAGGATTAACGCATTGCATAGAGCTGCTCCCCCCGCCCCTCGAATCTTCAAGTGAAAAAAATCCCTAAATAATAATTAAATAATAATTTTTGATTAACGCTAAAAACAAAGCAAAACACGATAAAACGAAGGGTCGGGTGACGAACGCCGCCCGAAGGAGGGGCTGGCACCTCCGCTGCTCCGGGGAGCGCCCCGGGGCGCC